AGGCTTTGAATGCCTACCAGTTGAATCTTCAATGGGTCATTATTTTTACATGAACAGATCGCGACAGACAGATTCTAATCAAAGGCGTAGGTATCGGCACATTTTGAATATCGTTTGCATGTCCTATTCTTCGTCTATCGAACTTCGTATTCCGAAAAGTATCATTCATTCCAAAGAAGGAGCGTGCTGTTTGCCGTTCATCTATCATAAAGAGAGAAGCCCGTTAGCCGGGCGACCCGGCTGGTGTCGAATAACGTGCACATGTGGTGATAGCCCAATTCATAACTTTTCGAAACCATTCGGCCGTTCTAGAGTGAGAGTGACAGGTGCGTCGACAGTAGGACGGAAGGTTCTTTCTTTCCATTTTCTGCTTTATTTTTCCTCTGACGGTTCTGCATGGATAGAGAGCTTACAACGTTTTGCCATCATCGTGCACAACTATCCTTTCTCTCCCTCAATGTCGGTATATGTTCGACCACGCCGGTCTTTGCGCGGCTACTCACGATGGCTCTAGTCGGTGCGCAAACAGAAGGCTTAGAGGAGCCTCCACTGCTCGGTTTGATGACTCCTCCATTCTGAAGAACGAATTCACCGATTGAGGATATAGACCTTTGGTGGCCTATTTCCGATCTATAAAACGAATATTAGAGAAGTACAGAAGTGGTTAGGACTGTATGATTACTGCATCATGGAAATGGAATGAACTAAAGTGTTGAGAAAGTCAGCTCAGATAGCAAAGGTCCAAGTCAGATTGAATTGAGTATTGAATGATCACCTGTGTCAGGATACGGGCTAAGTATGTGCCTGGAATTTACTTAGGATTATGAGAGCTGGTAGAATACATGGCCCATCTTAAACGGATAAGCCAGTGAAAGTCACTTTCTCCTTTCTGTGGAAGAACATAACTATGCGAGCTGCTCGATGCTTAAAGTACCATTCAGTTTCGCAACCCCTAGGTCCCCTAGGTCCCTTGGTCATTCATTGTATTTGCTTGAACTCAGCTCGACTCTATCGGAAGTGATACAATCACGTGAGCTCCACTGCAACCCTTTTTTTCTCAACGGAATAAGTGCTGAGCCGCATTTTTGTAAACTTTGATGGGCTTTTTTCTCTGAAAGCTGCAGAATAAGAGAGTTCAACGATGTTTGCCAGATTCTTGAAAGATCCTTCTTCGATCAAATTGTACCGGCAATGTTTTCCCAAAGGGCGTCTCTGTGTCTCCTCAGTGCAATGGTGATCGGTAGAAAAAGCTTCTTGCACTAATGCTTCGACACTGATCTGTTTGCCGGAATTTCCGGAGATAGGCTGTGTGACGAACGTATGTGCGGAATGTACTCTCGTTCCTTGGTTTATTCCCAGCAGTAGAAGGGAACTGATCCTTCTCCTCAACTAAATGCTGCTGCTCTGTAAAGATGTCCACTTAGGCTTCTGTAGGTACCTCGAAGTGCGGATGAAAAGGAGCCAAAAACTCTAACAAGTATACAGGGAACTGGCTTCATATTAATGAAAGGTAGGTAACGAAAAAAGGAAAGGACTGGTGGGAGACAAAATGAGCTCATTATTGAGCCTCTAACACCAAAATTTTTTCTACAAATAATTCGGAAATTCGATATTTCAATCCACGCTATCATTCTTTAACCCCTTTCTGCGTGAGAGACATCGGGGCTTCTACGTCAAGAATATGCTTTGCAATGATGAGTGGTTCACTTTTGTGCTCTGCTCACACTCGACAATTAGTAGAGGGGGAGTGGGATAGGGCACATTATGCACTCAAAAGTACGACTTTTTTTACTTCTACTCTGAGTACATAGATGTTTCTCAGACTGAAAGTGCGCCCGTATCTGCTGGGAAACAAAGTTGTCACAAGGGGATAGCAGACAGTTTGGCGGCGAGCTATTGACCTCTTGATTCCCAATCAGAATTGCATGAGCATGAGATTTGTATCGCCTTTTAGGAACCCTATTCTACACTCGCTGATCCGCTCTTGCTATTTGATCATAGAAGCTGTAATGCGCGATATCGTACGCCGTAACGGGGATTACAGAAAAGCTTATGGCAAATTCCGCTCAAAATTCCGGCCGATGGGCCAAAAATGCTTTCCACTGCACTCAGACTTCGATTAGAAATCGGTAGAACCCCCAACCCAAAGGTCTGGGTTCTACCGATTCGTATATCGCTAGCAGGTCGCTAACAGTGGACATTCGCGTGGACATTCGCATTTGTGCATTTGTAAAATTGTATCATGGGGGTCTATCGCGATGGATGCTGTGACCTTCCAATCTCCCATCCTCCCCNNNNTCGGTTTGCTCTGTGGTCTGTACATGTGATCCGTACATGTGTAGTTCGCCACCAAGATGCCTCGTGATACTAAATTGACTCCCAGCAGGAGGTCATCGGAAAGGAAAAGTTCAGAAGGAGTAGGTTGTTTCAAGGACAAGCACATCAAGGATTGTTTTATTGGTCTCGAGGACTCAGTGCTTAAGCTCAATTGCCCTTTTCAAAAACCCTTCCGCGTTTTGAGATTACGATCTCTCCAATACCTAGCTGAACCCACTCAAACACATGTGTGGGTCTGGAGCTCAACTCGGATTATTATCTTACAACTAGAGAATAAAAAGAACACAGCCTTATTCGCTACTGATAGCTGTCCTGTCGGTATGGGACACGAATTTATCGTATTAGGGATGGAGGGAACTCGGTTGTCTCTTTATTCACAAGCTGCTCAGGGGAACAATTACTGGTCAACGTTAGATTTTGGGTCACGATCCGACGTGATATGTAAATAGGAGACATCTAAACAGTTATATGCAATATTTACTTTCTTTACCCGGTAACTGCTGTAGATTCATATGCAGTTTTGCAGGAAGGCGAAAATGCGCTCTGTTGGGCTCGGTTGAACCGTAAGCTCAGCACATGTGGAAGTCAGGTTCTGATTTTCGGATTTTCATGAAAACGACGGTTGGACGGCTGAGTATGTACTGTGACATGGTCGGTCACATCGCAAATAGGGAACCAGTAATCACTGTTTATTTGAGAATCTCATAGATGTAGTGACGGATATGTGAGGCAAAGGTACGTGTGTGGTTGTGGAGCGACCAATGACCCATTTGATTAACTGGCAGGAGAAACCGGTACCAAAATGTATAGTTTCTGGCTTGTAACTTTGATCAAAGGAGTGAAGCTGCTTATTGTTCAACTGGTTTCGAAATGAATTCAAGCACTCATTAAGTTTCACGCGTTCATTGCGATAACAATGGCAGTATGTACATACAGGTATTACTCACAATTCTGAAATAATATTAATATTACATATTACACATGGAACATGGTTGTTGAGCTAGGCCATTAGCTACGTATGAACACCGGGGTATCATTGTGCTATAGCAGTGGGAAGGAGGTGCTCAAGAAGGGAGACAAGAGGGAATAAGGATATGGAAGATGGGGAAGTTGGTAGAGGGAGTAAAAAGCTGAAAAGCTGACGATTGGTGATAATGAGAAAGATGGAGATGGAACTTCGAGGAATGACCTTTGAAAGGCTAGTATGTAGAACATTGGGAGGCTAAGATCTCCTCTGAGAATAATTGTTGCTCACAAAAGGAAGCTGGGTTAGAACGTAGTAAGTCAAGCGACTCCAGACAGAGTTGTGCTACCGGTTGACCTTCGTCGAAGGCGCATCATCGACTGTACCTCCTTTTTCACTTCTAATGACTCGTCCAAATTCTCTTTCTCTTCAACTAAATGCCAAGCTGCTGTTCTGAAAAGATGTCTACTCAGGCTTCTGTAGGTATGTCGTAAACGGAAGCATCTGACCGGAAAGAAAAATAATGACAACTAGCCCTGATCTCAAAATAAAGTAGGNTCTTGCTGGACGCACCTGTACACTTTAGTGTGGACCAATGGTCCAACTTTTCCATAGTGGAATGTATTCTCGAATATCTCTCGATACCAATACTCTTCTGGAGTCTCTGGTGTCCTATCAGGGAAGCGATCGGCTCGTTCCGAGAACATCTTCTCGGATATCAACGAACTGGCATATGTATGGACAATATCCCCGAGATCGGTTTTACCTGAAACCTTTAGTTTTGTTGGAAACTCGTAGAAAGAAGTCAGAAACGATTAATATAATTCAAAAATATGCTTTGTAGCATGTGATGACTGACCGAGGGCCTCTGCAAAGCCTTCTTTACTCCTCCACAACACGTCATCCGGCAGCCATCCCTCGAAAGCACTGCGCAAAATAAACTTCTCCAACTTCATCGGAATCAATTTGTAGGTTGGAGGAAGACGTGCCACGAGATCGATAAATCTAGATCAGTTATAGAAAACCGGTTCAGATCAATAGAAAAACCTTCTTAAATTTAGGAAAAACCGAACCTCTTGTCCAGGAATGGTACCCGGATTTCCAAGCCATGGCACGATGTGGATCGATCACAACGCAGTACATCGTATTGGTGGAGATGAGTCAATCGGCGGAGAATCTCCTTATGTAGATGGAATGCATTTGGTGCTCGTTGCATATAAGCATAGGAACCGAATAGTTCGTCAGCACCTTCGCCTGCAATAACGAGGGTGAATGAATGTTCGATCGAGTGACTAATTTTGAATGGAATTTTTTTTGCTTATCAGTGAAAGCGATGAAAAGCTTGCTCCTGACGGCTGATCGAAAATGAAAACAAATTGTTAGGCATGATTTTGAATGTTCAGAGTAAATATCCGTCAGAATTGTAATCACTTATTTGGCTTGGTGACAGAAAAGGGTAGGAACTGAAAGTGATGACATGGACTTATGGCATGGTCACTACGATGAGATGGCAAAGTTTGCGACATCCTCTAATACCCCACCCTAACCACTGAAACTCAAGTGCTGCCAAGCCAACTTTGGTCAATTCTCAAAATGGTGGATATCTTTAAGGGAATGGCAGTGGGAGATACCTACCTACCAACAACTGATCTAGTTATTAGCTAACTTCAACATCTATCATTCAACACTACATCGAGCATTCTACGCAAAACTTGCGGGATATCATCATCGTACTAACCCTAACCGGACTGAAGTAATGAAATCATTCTACACACAGACAGTGAACTGGTATCCGAGTGAACTATCATTAAAGACTTCAGGATATAACTCCCCCTATGAAGAAGCTGTCTTTGAGTTTAACAGGTCTTTTGCCCCCTTGGTTGGCTATTAAGACTGCTGGTATCAATTTGATGCATCATCGCTTGGGACAGAGAATGTGAAGTGACTTCTTCAATCTTGACCTTTCGGAAGGACGGAATTTTTTAGGAGCTCAATTTCTCGAGGAGCATCCCTTGACCCCTCGAAGAAAAGCCTTCCTGTGGTAGATAAATATATCCTGATATTGGTTAATATTGAGCCATACAATATCGCCCAAACCCCACCGCTGATTCCTGAACCATAGGATGTCTTGAAAACTATAGAACCACGCCGAGTCAATGACGAATCGCTTTGTTCAGGGTATCTTTGGAGCGACTATCCTCTCGAAGAAGCCATTTTCGTCGCCGATAAACACACACAGACGAGTGTTTACGTAACCCTTTCTGGGAGGTCATCATCGTGGGAAAAGAAATGCTTGGGGCGACTCGGTAAACACTGTCACCTTGAGAGGAAAAAAGCGAAATGTGTTCCGAAAAGCATAAGTCGTACAGATGATGCAGTAACAGGAGTACCGCTCTGAATTTTGTGGAGCGAATAAAGGGAGAACAGCCGAGCTTTCATTTTCTGCTTTTGAATGCTATTGAATATTTCCGACAGATCCATGTAACATTCTTTTGAATGATGCTCTACGAAAAGCTTCGCTTAGCTTGAATATGCATATGGAACCTTTATGATTCAGAGAGAACACTTCAGCGTGTTTGGGCGGCTAATTGGAAAGAAAACCGGGTTCTATAAAGCGCCTCCAGTTGCACATTTGTTGCAGTGGGACGACCACTTCGGAAATAATTTCCACACAGATACAACGACCAATTTGATTCAACGCAACTAAGATTTTTCCAAAGAGGAAATCAAAGAAAGCATGACAGAACGAATTTCTTGACCTTCCCTCAATCGCTCCGGAATGTAAAAGCATCAAGCCTAATTTAATTTTGCGAGATCAATTATTCCCCTCCGACCAAAGCAAGGGTTACCATTTCGCATCATTAAACTCGCAATCAGCGGATAAGATTCGACTTTCCGTAGCCCTTTTTCAATGGTCTCTCAAAAAGCTACCACGAGTGCTCGAGAAATAAGATGTGGTGTTAAATGTGGGCCCATAAAACAGAGTAGCGACCCGTTCGAGCGCTTTCGAGATCACTCTGTGACCGTACCGCCCACGTCCCATGAAGTTCATCCTTGTTCAGTTCATAATGCGACAAAACTGTATCATGGAAC